GGATCAGCAGCCGGCGCGCCCGCCGGCGCCGTGGCCGGGCCGGCCGCCCGCTCCTCGTGCAGGGTTTGCTGCACCGGGGCGCCCTCCGGCGCAAAAGGCAGCCGCCGCGGCCGCGCCGCCGGCCCGAGCGGCAGCGGCGAGCGGCGCCCGAGATCACCGCCGCCACCGGCCCCGGGGCTCGTCGCCACAGCCGCGGCCGCGGGCGCCCTCGCGGGCGACGCCGCGCCCCGTGGTGGGTCGCTGGCCGGGCCGCGGTCCTCAAGTGACATCACCACCCGCAGCAGGGCCACCTGGTGCGGCGGCCGCCCCAGTGTCCCAAGGGATAGTCCAAGGGAGCATAAGGAAGCGTGGAGCCCGTCAGAGGTGTTGCGGCAAGGCGCCAAACGGGAAACTCCGGGCTGATGTCTATCATGACGCAGATTGTGCCGTCAGGCAGCCTGGATTTCATGGCATAGCTGCTTTCCCAGCAGTGAGGGCAGCAGCATGGGGACAGGTACGCCCCTGGCTGCCCATCACGCAGGTTGCTTAACATAACCCAAGTCTAGGCACGGCTTCCCCTTGCTTGCTCCCCCTTTCCAGCTTCAACTGCATTTCCCAGCAGCAAGCTCTTTGCCGCAAAGCTCCCGTGTCTACCCTGGATTCCGCAGACACACACCGGCAAAAACGAAACACCTCCGTGATGCGCAACATGTGCAAATCAGAGGACGCTCGTATCGCCCCCGCACCTGCACGCGCTCCTCTGCCCCCGCCAGCGCGCCGTCGCCCGCGCGCGTCATCAGCGCCAAGACGGGCGCGTAACCGTCCACCCAGGCCTCCTGCAGCAGCGCTGACAGCGGGACGGATGCCACTCCCAGAAGCGTGTCCGCGCCAAACCTGGCGGGCGGGCCGCCGGGTTCGGCAGGAGGGGCAAAGCGGGTTGAAGCGTGCCAGGTCAGCGCAAGAAAATCGTTGCACATGCCGCCGTTGCCGCCGGCGTTTTCAAAACCCCGATGGCCGACGCATGGAGGATGCAGCCACGCCGCCCTGAGAGACGATGAGAATGCAGCTGGTGCGGGGCGCCGGGCCCACGGCGGCAAGGTGGGGAGCAGCAAACTTGGGGGCTCGCGCAAAGGGGAGATTAAGGGATGGCGCGGTGCCCACCTCTCCTTGTGCCACGCCTCAAGGGTCAGGCGCGGCTCCCCACCCAGCAGCGACGCCAGCGCCATCACGCCACAGCTGCGCGAGGGGGGCGCGGGCGCAACAAAGGGGGTTCGGTTGGACGGAGCAGCCGAGCGCTTTCAGAAGCCAACGGCCGGGCAACTGGGGACGGCCAGGTGAAGGGGTGGTGGGCAGAAGTCGTGTGCAATCGTACAAACAACCAACCACCGGGCGGCTTGCCGGCCCTGATGGCAGCAGCGCACACGCCGGGAGACAGATACGGATGCATGCTGCGTCACGGCCACCTGAATTCGAGGGACACGTGGCCGTTTGGCAGCGCGCCCTCGCTGCCACGGGCAATCTCTACCGCCGGCCGCGTCCGCAGCGGCGCCGCGCGTGGCGGGACGCGCGCGTTGCAGGCGGCCAGGAAGCCTGCGGGGAGGGGGTCGCGCCGGGGGCGAGGGGCGGGGCACGGCTGAGCAGTCGGGCCGTGTTGTGTGCTGTGCCTGCTCGGCTGGATGGAAGTCGGATGCGCAAGCCCGGCAGCCTGCGCCTGCCTAGTGGCACCAGCACCCCGCAGCATCCGCTAGAGATCGCAAGCCGGATGTTCAATGCCGCCACCTCGCGGCTGAACCTCAACCCTAAACCCTAAACCCTGAACCCTTGACCCTCACTCAGCAGCTCGGCGGGCAGGTGTGCCTGCACGTAGGCGGTCGCCAGGTTGACGGGCAGGCGGCGCCCCGCCTGCAGGCTACGGACGTCGATGGACAGGGAGAAGCGGCGCTCAGGGTCACGCGGCGCCTCTGCGCGCTCCACAGCTTGCGCTGCCCTTTGCTCCTGCTGCTGCTGCTGCTGCTGCTGCTGCTGCTGCTGCTGCTGCTGCTGTGGTGGTGACGCCGGCGACGCCTGGTGGGGGGGCTGCCCCTGCTGCTGCTGAAGCTGCTGCTGCTGTTGCCGGGGTGGCGACGCTGGCGACGCCTGGTGCGACGGCTGCCGCTGCTGCTGCTGCTGCTGCTGCTGCTGCTGCTGCTGCAAATCCATTCGTTCCGCCTGTCGATCTTGCTTGTGCTGCAGCTCGTGTAGCTTCTTTTCCTGCCCCTGTTCCTGATGCCGTTGCTGCGGTTCCTCCTGCCTCTGCTCCTGCTGCTCCTGCTGCTCCTGCTGCTCCTGCTGCTCTCGCTCCCGCTGCCTGTGCTCCGCCCATTCTGCGTCTTGGCTCTCCTGTGGCTGCTGTGGCTCATTCACCCCCTCCTCCTCCTCCTCCTGCTCCTCCTTCTCCACAACCTGCACCTGCGCCGCGCCGGCCTCTGCATGTCCGGATTCGACCCCCGAGGGCGCAACCAGCAGCTGCCTCACCCCTAACTCGCCGTCTACCATCCTCGTCAGCCGGTGCTCACTAGGCTCGGCCCCACTCCCCCGCTCACCCGCACCGGCCTGCGCGCCGCCCCCGCTGCCGCCAGCCGCAGCAGGCGCGTGCGAGGCGCCCGCGTCGTCCCTGGCGGCCACGTCGCCGGCACCCGCGCCGGCGTCAGTCTGCAGCCGTTCTCGCTCCTTGGGCAGGTCAGATCTCAGGCTGAGCCCGGTGGAGCCCGCAGAATCCTGATCTGGCTGCTGACGCCCCAGCGACAACCCTCGCTGCTCCTCCCATTCGTCGTCCACGTGCGCTCGGCCCCAACGCTGCGCCTCCGCCACGCCCCGGCCACCGCCGCTGCGGCGCCGCAGGCTCCCCGGCCGCTGCGGCCTAGCCGCGTCGGCCGGCGCGGCCGCGGCGGGCGCCGCGGCGGGGGCGCCTAGCGGGGCTGTGATGGGGAGGAGGCTGGAGGTGCTGCTCTCGGGAGAGGCGAGGGGCGGGTCCTCCCCAAAGCTGTACGCGACACGCAGCCTGGGGGCGTCCTGCAGCCGGGAGCCGCTGAGCTGCAGCCATTCGGCTGCGTGGCAGGGCCGCATGGGCAGGGCGGAAGGGGCGGCCTAAGGCGCTCTGCTGGAGATGCGGACCACGCAGCGTTGCACAACAAGCCCGCTGCAGCACCCAGCTCACGCTGACCGCTTGTCCCCAGCTTGATAAATGCGACAACCCGCATCCATGTACTTGCATGCACGTACACACACACACACACACACACACACACACACACATGCGCGCGCGACACAACCGCTGCGACGCGCAAGCGTCCGCCCACCTTCAGCATTCTTGCCGTACTGATGGCGCATCTTCGCGTCCCGCAGGTCAAGCACCACCCAGCCCAGCCTAACGCCGTCCCGCCTCAGCACGCTGACTTTGCAGCCGCTTGCACCGCTCGCCTGCAGGCGCCGCAGCTGGCCGCGGTCCTCCACGGCCCACATCAGCGTAGCGCCCCAGGCGTGCGCGTCGCCGCCGACGCTGTAGCCGGTGGTCTTCGTCTCGCCGCCGAACTGGGCGCTGCAAATAAGCGCCTGGAGATCGCCGCCGAAGCCGCGGCCCTCGAGGATGGTGACGCGGAAGACGTGCATGGCTGGCGCGGCACGCGGCGTTGTGGGTGCCTGCGTCGGCGACTACCGCTATTCCCCTGACTGTCAACAGCACGCGCCGCTGTGCAGACCGGACAGGCTGCAGGTCGATTGAGCAGCTTGTGTGTCAAATGCGCTACACGTTGGCTTTTGAATAATTATTGCGCCAGATCAATCTGGCGCAACAACAGTCGCAGACGCGACAAAGACTGCGATGAGCTGCACAAAGTGATGCGATGCGAGCTTGTGGTTGTGATTTGATCAAGTGCACATTGCCCTCCACTCGTGCATGTCATGCTCTTCAATTCCGCCGCTTCAGTGCTGTTCTCCCTGCACGCCCAGTGCCGGCGCCGTGCACACACACGCCCCGGGTGCTCAAAAGCGCCGTGCTACGCCGTGCTGGATAGGCACAGATCAGCCATACTGGCTGAACAACAGCACAATGGCCCTGCTCGTCATCTTGACTAAGCGCCATGGGGCGGACTGCAACCAGCCCCGGGCGCCCCTGTCACCTTCGCACGCGGCCCGCCAGCCCGCACAACCCCTGGCCGTCCCGCGCATTGCAGCACCGCCGTCTGATTACGCTGTCCTCCGTCAATCGTCACCCACTGCATGATCGGGCCGAGCCGTCCCGGGACGCGTCACCCGCGCCACGACTCGTTACAGCGCCGTCATCCCCCCGTCCACCATGAGCACCGCCCCGGTGATAAAAGACGCATCCGACGACAGCAGGAACGCCACCGCGCCCGCCACCTCGTCGGGCGAGCCCATGCGCTGGATGATCAGGCCGCCCTTCATCTCATTCATGATCTGATCAGGGGCCTTTCCCTGTACAATGAGGGAAGACGCAGGGGCGAGGCGACGCACGGGCTCTGAACAGGCGCCCAGGGCGCAGCGCAAGAAAAGGAGGCGGGGGCACAGGCAAACAGGGTCTCGCAGAGGATAGGGTGAGACGGAAGCGCAGACAGGCCAGCGCCGCAAGAGCGCGGCAGCACCCCTGGCTCGCGACGACAAGGCCTGATCGGCCAAGCCGGGCTTAGACAACCATTGCAGCGTGGGATATCCGCACGCAATCTGCAGGGATGCAGCCATGAGCTCGCACCGCAAACAACGTCTGCCCCGACAAACTATGAAACAGGCTCGCCCAGCACTGCCACAACACCGCCACGCCCTCTCTCTACAGTACTGCACACCCCTTAAACCAGCATACCTGTGAGTGAGCGTGCTTCTCAGTGGCCTCCGTTAAAATCGGCCCTGGGCAGACGGCGTTGACTCGGATACCATGCTGACCCAAGTCGAGGGCGCAGCAGCGCGTCAGCTGCAGTATGGCGCCCTTGGAGGCGGAGTAGGGCACGAACCCCGGCTGCGCTATGAAAGACGAGATGGACGCGAGGTTGACAATGGACCCACCGCCACGGCCGGCCGCCTTGATGGCGCGACCGGCGTGCTTGATGCAAAACTGCGGCGCGGCGCGAGGAGGAGGGGGGGCCGTGTGGTGCGGCGCCGCGCGTGAGCGGCTGCCAGGGTGTGCTGTGCTGTCCGGAAGGACGAAAGCTGATGGGTCACGCAGGGTGCTCCGCCGTAAATGCAGCCAGAGCCGTTTCTTGATTTGTCCCAGCCGACAATTTCATCCCATCCGGCAACAGGGGCTGGCACGCGTGTGCTTGCACACGCCACTGCTGCTCGGCTAGGACCGGCAGGGGCCAACCCCTGCCGTGCTGTATGGGTCACCCATGCTTGACCCTGCTGCCCACTAAAATAATTTGACGAGGGCCCTGTCAGGCTCACCGTGTAGCCCTTGACGTTTGTGGCGAAAGAGAGGTCCAGGTCCGCCTCTGTGACGTCTAGCGCGCTGCTGAACACAAACCTGCGGCGTGCGAGCGCGACGTGCATACGATTGAGAGTTCCCGGCAACTGTGTTGGGATTCCTGCACCCGATTACATCGGCGGTGAGTGGCCTCACTATGCTTTATGGCTGTCATTATGGTGATTGTGACTCCTATCACGCCCGCCCCGACCCATCGGCCCAGGAGTCCTGGACACAGCTCCACATCGACGCACAATCACATCCACAAACGCATGTACCCACACATGCACCCACCAGACACACATACGTACATTGCACACACACACATACTCATGTAACACACTGACACATACACACCTGGCGGCGTTGTTGACTAAATGGTCCAACCGACCGCCACCAAAGCTCACTGCTGCCTGCATCAAGGCCTCCACCTGGTCCTCTTTTGACACATCCACCTGCGCCGCATACATGCGTGCCGTTTCAAATCATCCGCCATAACGCAGATGCACAGGGGCCCGCGGAAGCGCCTCCCGCAGATAAGGACGCCGATGCCGTGTGAGGCAGCAGCTGTAAGTCACCCGTTGCAATGCAGGTTGGAGGGACCATCCCATTGCTCGCCTGGATCGCGAGCGCCTTGCCGCCCTCCAGTGTCAGCTGCTGTGCCACTGCCTGAGCGCCCTCTAAATCCGTGTCAGCGATCACCACGGCGGCGCCCTCGGCCGCCAAGCGCCGCGCCACGGCGGCGCCGATGCCCTTCGCAGCACCGGTAACCACTGCCACGCGGCCCACAAATCGCGGGCAGCTGGACGCGCCTGCAGAGGACATAGCTTGACCTTAAGGCTGCCAGGAGGATACACCAGCGGTTAGCGCTGCTGTCGTCGAGCGGACGCCACTGCTGCTGCTGCTCGTGCTGCAGCTGCTGCTGATGCTGCGTGCCCGCCTGGCACGCCCTCCAGGTCCAAACCAAAATCTTTGGTGGGTCACACCAGCTGCCTCTAGACAAGCTAGACTTCCACGACATCAGCAAGCGAGCTACGCTTTTGAATTGCCTGATCTTATCGCCTGTGCCTTCCCACCCAGCAACGGTGACCTGAAGTAACTTGGTTCGAGCTTGGGCTTTGGCAGCGCCCCATGACTGGCCCAATCTCATTTCGTCTACGATAGTGATGTTCCGGACGTTCTGCAGCTCTCGAGGCCAAGAGTGCAGTGTCACCCGACTTTGGCCAGCGAGGATCTGGTGCCCACGTCGAATCGCCATGAGGGCCGTTCTGGCTTCGATATTGCTGCAGGGAGCACGGGCATGTCTCGAAGGTGCGTTTCCACACGCTTTGTGGCTGCTTGTGGGTTGCAGCATGGGCTGCTTCGCTCTTTGCCCTTGCCGCCCTCGCCGCAGCCGCAGCCGCAGCAGCAGCAGCAGCAGCCGTGCTCAGGCAGCCGCCATCCATCCACGCCAGCGCGTCCTGCCCGCCTTCGTTCCGCACGCACAAGCCCCGCAACCCTCCGGCCTGCGCCTGCGCCTGCGCCTGCTCCTGCACCCGCAGCGTCGATACTCAAGGCTGGTGACATCAGCGTGCAAATCAGCAGCCTGGTCATGAACGACAAGGGCGGCTGGGCGGCGGCCGGCTCGGGCCCCACCAAGTACTCCCTTCCGACGCCGGGCCCTCTGCAGTACCTTCTGGCATACGGGTGAGAGTGGCTGCCAGCCAGGCAGGCCAGCGCTCGCACCGGGTGCGGTTCAGTTGCCAGCAGCCGCTGGCATGGGGTGTCGCGGCTGGACTGGTGCTGGCGCCAGTCTATGGTACTTTTGGGCTCCCAAGTGGCGGCGTTCAGTGATCCTCCTTTCCTCCCTGCCCCCATCTCGCAGCGGCAAGGGCGCGGACGGCAAGGGGCAGGCGTTGTGCCTCCAGAGCCTGTCGGGCATTGACCCCTGCCGCCGGCAGGACAACGCGACCAATAGGACCCAGCTATTTGGGCAGGGGAGCCCCGGCGACTGCTTCGACTTCAATACAGGTGAAGCCGCGGCAGCATGCACACTTTTGGCGACCTGGGGGCTGCGGCGCGGCAGACGCCTCTGGACGGAAACCGAGCATATGCTGTGGGGGCGAGCTGACAGCTGGGGAGCATTGTGCGGATCAAAGCCGGATACGTGCATACATGCAACGACGGGGCACCGGCGCACCAGATGGACTCACTGTCGCTACCGCAAAACAGGGGGTAAGTCCTCCTCCCGAAGCGCACACAACCCCGCACACACGTCCTCGCACGCGCACGGGGCCGCCCATGTGACCCACAGGCGCCACCAAGCTCGTGCGCAAGGCCTTGGCCTCCCGGCTCGCCGGCGTGGCGTGCCCCAACTCGAAGGACAGGGCTCAGGGGGCCGTCAGCACCGAGTGGCGGCTGGCGCAGGGCCCAAAGGGCAGCTTGACCCTCACAATGATGGAGGACAAGCAGGTGAGCGCGCACGTGTGCACGTGTGTGCGTGGGTGTTTGGGTGGGTGGGCGCGGAACGCTTGGTCGCGGCGTGAGGAGTCTGGTGGGGAGGCAGGGGTGTGTGTGCTAGTGAAGGGGGGCGGTGGAACGCGGCGGTTCGAGCCGGGTGGCGGGCAAGGTTGGCAAGAGGCTGAGCGCGCGTCCACCACTATGGGCGTTGCCGGAGGCGCCTCGAAAACACCGCCCCTCCCGCGCCAACACTCGCCGTAGCTCCGTTTCAAGTGTTTTCATCCCGCCCCTGCTCGGCGTCCACGCGCTCTCTTTGCGCAGCAACCGGCGTGCAAGGGCGCGAAGCAGACGCGGACCCAGCGGACGGAGACCACGACCCTGAAGCTGCTCACCGGCTGCCTGCTCGGCACGACGCCCCCAAACTGCACGGCGGGTGGGCGAATTCGGCTGTTCAGGCCCAGGCTGCACTGGGCCTGCAAGCGTCTGCCGGCCTGAGTGTGCGCCATGCATGCTGGTGCTTCCTCACCTGCACGCGCACTTCCTGACCAGATTATTTCAACCAATTGGCACACAGGATAACAACAGGATAAGCCCTTCATTTTTGATTTGTGATGAGCCGTTTCAATTTGGGCTATGCTTGTGCAATCAGTACGGCCTTCATCCCCCCCCCACCCCGCCCAGCGCTCTCTACTCCCCCCACCTCACAAAAAACGCCACCCACACGTCGCGCGGCACACCCACTGCTCCCACACTCCGCCCGCGGCTCGCGTTCAGGCGTCAAGTCCTGCCGGGCGTGCGGCGCTGGCCAGGTGCTGTGGAGCAACTTTGACCAGAACGCGCAGGAGCAAATAGAGGTGAAGGGCTCGCAGACCCAAGCGCGGCGCGTGCGAATGGGCATGCCACGCACCTCCTTAACCTTGACCTGCACAGCGTGCGGCGCGTGATTAGTGCACGGCATGTGTGTGATGATTGAGAGTGCGTTGGGGCGGCAGGCTTGAACTCACGGCAGGGTAGACCGAAAGTCTCCAGCCGCTTCGCCTCTGGCTGTTTTGTGTCAGGGCTTCCACCCATCCGCGACGCATCGTTGATCCATCCGCTCTGTGCGCACGACGCACCTTTGACCCGTCCACTCTGCGCTACCCACCTCGCCCTCTTTCTCCAGATTTGCCTTGATCAATCCGCGACCTGCAAGGTCGGCCCCGAGTTTACAGGCTGCCCGCCGGGCTTCTACGGCGCGGCCATCGCCCCCAAGGCATCAGACGGCGTGCAGTGCCGTCCCTGCGCGCCTGGGACGTTCAGGAGCGCCGACGACGGCCCCGGCGGCGACGGGTCGGCGTCGGCGCTGCTGAGCAGCTGCCTCGCGGTGGGCGCGCCGGGGGCGGGGGCGGCGGGGTTTCGAGGCTCGGGAGGGCAGTCATAGGGTGGCAAGGCAGAGTGAAATGAGCATGCATGTAATGGAAGAGTATGCATGGGGTGCTGAGGGCAAACTGTATGCATGACAGAAGCAAGCCTGCTGCCTGGCGCGCACACGCGCTCTGGATGCCGTTCCCCACACATGTCTCCGCCCCCGCTTGACTTCTTCAGTGCCCCTCTGACAAAGACTCGGGCTGGGCCGCCGCCGGCTGCCGGCCGTGCCCGCCCGGCACCATCGCCAAGCGGAACAGCTCGCCGCTGCAGTGCACGCCCTGCGTGGTGGTGAGCACCAAGGCGCCGCTTGCTGGTTCGGCACGTGGGCGGGTGTGGATTGCGAACGCCTGTATGTGCGACCATGGGCGGCTGGCCTCTGGCCTTGTGCTGAGCATTGCAGTCACCGCCTGCTAGGAGGTTGTGTTCTGTTGGTCGGCGCGCATGGCAGACAGTGGTATGGCGCAGCCAGCGGCCTTGGCCAAGGGCTCGGCTCGAGCTCCTGCTGAGTATTGGCTCATGCATGGCAGCAAACCCATGCCGCTGGTCCATGCCGTCCCCTTGATGCGCGCAGGGCACGTACCTGCCGCCCACAAAGCCGAGCTGGGCGCCCCAGGACAGTGATCAGTGCCTCGACTGCCCCCAGGGTGCGTCCGCCACACGCCGGCCGGGCTCCTGCTCGCTCGCTGCCCCAGTTGTTAGGCTTCGAGGCGGCCGCAGCCCGGGCGGGCGGTGGCTGCCTGGACGTGTCCCCATGTCTCACCTGCCTTGACCCCCTAGATCGGCCATTGTCGGGTGTCTCTTGCGAACATCGCACCTTTTCACCATTTTGAATCCTGGGACCGCAGCTGTCCTGGCGCGCACGCTTGTGACCATCCCCCTCAAATCCGCCCCACCTCGGACTGTAAAATGCCTCGCAGGGATGTACCAAGACCAGGCCGGCAGGTGAGAAGATGGCGGGGGGTGCTGATAGGGTGTACGCCGATCAGAGGGGTGGAGTAGCGCGCTGGGCGGGTGTTAGGCTTGAACTCTGCAAAGCCAAACCTCGTCTCGACCTTGTCTGCAGCATCAAAGACCATGCATGCGCCACACCTGTCATTGACCTTGGGGCTCTTGTTGGATCCTGCTGCGTTCTGCACCCCCGGACTGGCCAACCAGAGTCAAGCTCGCGCCCGCCCCATTCGCGCCCTCCCCCCAGTCAATCCTGCAAGGTGTGCACGACCGCGTGGCGCTGCTTCCCGGAGCGCGCGGTGCAGCTGGGCAAATTCTCAGAGGTGCCCTTCCGCTTCTTCGGCCCCGCGGGCCACCCCCAGTGCGCGAGCGTGGACGGCAAGACATGCCTGAAGAATGCAACTTGGTGAGGGGCAGCAGGGTGCGAGGGCTGGCTCATGCGTACCGCACCGAAAAGTGCAGAACTGCATTGATCCTGCCAGACGGGGCTGCGTCTTCTTTTGAGCTAACTCCACAGCGAGGATGCGGGGATTGCAAACGGTAGAGGAGCGTCTCTGCGTCACAGGCACAAAACCGCACCAGCAACCCCTCTGGGGCAGATACGCGCCGACCGATCTTGTGCCCCCTTTTGAAAGCCTTCCTTATTAATGTTGAACCCTTCATTATCCTCTCCCACAGCACCGACGACAAGCTGCAAATGGTGCGGGACCTGGAAGCTGCCGGGCAGCTGAAGCCCCTGACATGCGGCCCCCTGCACGCCGCCAAGTGGGCCGGGAGCACCGGCTACTCAGAGGGGCCCGGGCACTGGTGCAACGTGCTGCTGTACGACTTCTTGGTGAGTCAAATTCAGAGGTTTGACTTTGCCGAGGTTGCTCAGGTGTCCGCCAGCACACATGGCGCAGAGTGGAATGTATAATGATGCACGTGCGGTCGGCGACCTGGCTGTGGAGCTGTGAGAGAGGCTGGATTACAAGCGAAAGGATGGGATGCAGGAGCAGTGACTGTGCTCATTACGCACTGGAGTCCCGGGAGTGTCTCGTCATCAGGGCCCCTGTCGGCTTGCATTCCCTCCAAATGCGTTCATGCAGCGTGGTTCAACGCACTGCTCCCGCGTTCCACGGCTGCGGGCCCAGCCATAGTATGGCCGTGCCGCTTGCAACTCTGGCGCCTCTACTTACGCCCCCCTCCTCCTGTCGCCGCCCCCGTGTCGCAGCCCGCGGGCGCCAAGGCCCCGGCCGGGATCTACAACACCAGCTTCTGGGTGCAGCCGCCCAAGCCCGCAGACGAGACCGTCACGGGCGCAGACTCGCCAGATGAGTGCCAGCCGCGCACCGGCTGGTAGAAAGGGCGTCGCCGCGCGTCAACGCTGGCGCGGCGTGATGCGTCGTGCCGCCCCCCACCTACACCCACCCCCTTCCGGATTGAGGAATGCTCACGATATTTGCTGCTAGTTGGCGTTTCGCGCCCGGTGTGCGCTTTTTGCCGATCCTGTCTTGCTGTCCTGCTCAACATGTCTCTGCCAAAGTCGTTCGCAATCTCGCTTAATCTCACGTGATCTTGCCGGCTATGACATCCCCCACACGTCAGATGTGTCACGCTACCACAAAGACTATCAACTACCCTTGCAATGCACAGAGCACATGACAATATCAGTTGCACACGTATACACACATATAAAATCGCAAGCGCCGGACCTCGGACCCGCACGTTGTATGCGCGGCTTTTGCCGTTGCCGTTTTGCTGCGACATGCGGGGCGCGCTTGCGCGGCGCGGCCCGTCAACAGTACAAGCCCCTCAGGACGGCAACATGCGGGCTCGCGGCAGGCCGCGCCTCTGCAAAGCACGCAAAGCATGCAGGCACATCGCCACCTTGGCTGATGGTACACGTGATGACCGATCGACGTTCTTCGTCCGGGCGGGGTACTCTCTGAGGCAAGGGTTGTGATCAATGTCGAAGCGTCTTGAAAATGGGATACAGGGGCTTCCCCCACCCACCCAGACCCCATTCGCACGGGCGCACGTCGGTAGCAAGGGCTCCCCCACCGCAGAACTGAGCGGCTGGCGGCGCCCCGCCCCTTTCTCAGCATGTAATGAACATGCGGCCCCGCTGAGCACATGCAGTCGGCGGGCGCCGTGTACCGGTGGCTTTGTGGAGTGTACTGTGAGGAGTGCAGGCCGCGGGAGCTGCGTGTCGCTGTGGCCTTAGGGTCACCACGACGCGGCCGCCTGAGCAGGCCGGTTTCTCAATCAACAAAGGGTGACTGGCGTTGGATCGGCGACGTCGGCCGGCTATGACGATGCACAACCACATGGGCCGGTCGTGAGATTGGGGCCGCATGTGCTTGTGTGCAGTGGGGCAATGAAGTGGTGCGGTGGTGAGTTCCCAGCGCAGGAGGCTGGGCGCCCTTCACCACTGGTTGCGCTGCACGCTGGCCTGCCGCTGCAAAGCTCTTTTCCGGTGATAGCTTCATACCTCTTCAAATCATGTTACACAAAACCCTAGTCTCCCTCCGATACACCTATGACAACGCAGGGGGCCATCTTGCCTTGGTCTGACAGTCTTGATGATTTGACGAGCACAAGCCGTTCTACGTTTCGGCAGTGTTGCGCATAGTATCCGTGATTACTATGCTGGGCATGTTTCTGTCCCGGCCTGGTCGTTGTCGTGGATGGGAGTAACTCGCCCAAGTGGGATACACGGAGCCTTCTTGCCCACCCCAAAATGGGTGGTTGCTATTCTAGTGACTCTTGTCGTGCTCTCGGCGACGACGGCCCCATGTCGTCAGGGCTTCGCGGCGGGGCGCACGCTGAGCAAAGCAGCTCGTCGTGCCGAAGGCCTGCACACTGGGCTGGGCAGCCCCCGGCCGCGCAGCCGTCCTGCTCGTCAATGCCACGGCCCAGTGAAGATAGCTTAAGATCCAGCAGGGGCCGCAGCATGAACGACTGCACGATCCTCGTCAGCACGCCGTCCGCCGCCAAGCTCCGGCCTTTCCCCGCAGCTACCGACGCCGCCGCGGCGCGGCCGGCCGCGGCGGCCCCGTGGCGCCCGTTCGCGCCCGCCCGCACGCGCGTGCGCCGGGCGTCCGCCGATACCGCCCTCCACGCGCAGGCGGCCGCCGCGGCGGCTGCGGAGGAGCTCGCGCGCTCAAGCTGCTCCGGCCACGTGTCCGGCAGCCCCTCCCGGGGGTGCGGGGCCGTGCGGCGCACCAGCTGCTGCGCGGAGATGTTTGCGCGGCTTGTCGCGCCGCCACAGGCCATGCTGATTGCTGACCAGACGACCCAGCTGTGCTGCCGGCTTTTCGAGGTGATTGCGTGTGTGGGGGGCGCACGTGTGAATGACTTGGCCAGGTTGTGCACCTTTTTGTTGTCGTCGTGTCATGCGTGTTTGTGTGTGTGTGCGTGTGTGCTGCATGTGTGAGTGTGTGTGTGTGTGTGTGTGTGTGTGTGGTTGCCTATGCGTTGAGAGGATGTTTACGTAGAGGTATGTGTAGGTGCATGTTGGCAGCAACTCCCGCATGTGTCGACCTCTCGCCCGAATGCCGCGCAACAAAATCACGGCACGCGCCCGGCGACCCGACACAACAGGTGTCGGCTGCTGTGATAATGCAGGCGGCGCCCGCAGAGGCGCCGCAGGCGCCGCGCGGCGGCCCCGAGCATCGCCGCGCCGTCTCCCCGTCGGCGGCGTCGGCCGCGCGACTGCTTTCCTTATCCGGCTGCGAGCACTGGCCCGTGGAGCCGACAGTGGCCGTGTGCGACGTTGCGCTGCGCGCGGCCGCGGCGCGCTGCGTCGTCGCCGGCGCGCCGCCGGGCGTGCTGGTCGCGTGCGGCGCCGACGTCGCGGCTGTGAGCGGCGGCCGCGCCGCGTTTGTCGCAGCGGCGCCGCTCGTGCGCGACGGCGTGTGTGGCGGAGCTATGTGAGCAACTGCACCCCCCTCCCC